TAATACCCGTTTTGATTTCTCCTTTGATTCATGGGTTATTTACAAGTTGTCATTTAATTTCTAAATACTTGGGGATTTTCCAGAGATCTTTTGGTTTTTATTTATATCATAATTCATTGTGGTCAGAGAATATACTTTGTATAATTTGAGTTCTTTTGAATTTATTTAGACTGGTTTGTAACTAAGTATATGATTTATTTTGGTGAATGCTCTATTTACACATGACAAGAATGTGGGTTCTGCTGCTGTTGGGTGGAATGTTCTACAAATGTCAATTAGGTCAAGTTGATTGATAACACTGTTTAACTCTTCTCTATCCTGATTTTCTTTCTACTTTTGATAGAATTGATAAAATCAATGGTGAGAAAGGAGTACTTAAATGTCAAATTATAATTTAGGTTTGTCCATTTCTTCTTACAGTTCTATCCGTTTTTGCTTCATACGTTTTGAAGCTCTGTTATTAGGTATATCAATATTTAGGCTTGTTATATTCTTTTGATGACTCGACACTTTTATCCAGTAATGTTCTTTGCTCTGAAATCTATCCTATCTTAAATTAACATAACCAGTCCAGATTTCTTTTGCTAAGTGTTAGTATGGTGTATCTTTTCCTATCTTTTTATTTTTAATCTATTTGTAGCTTTAGTTTTGAACTGCATTTTTTATAGAACATATAATTGGGTCTTGCTTTAAAAATATCCAGTCTAACAATCTCTGATTCTTAATTGAGCTATTTAGACTGTTGTTATTTACATGGTTAAGTTTAAGTCTACCATCTTGCTATGTGTTTTCTATTTGTTTCATCTGCTCTTTGTACCTCTTTCCTTTTTTTCCACCTTCTTTGGGATTAAGTAAATTTTTAAATGACTCTATTTTGTCTTTGTTGACTCATTACCTATAATTATGTTTTAGTTTAGCATTTGCTTTAGGGTTTACAATATACATCTCTAATACATCAAAATGTACCTTAAAATGATATTGTACCACTTCACAAATGGTATAAGATCCTTACAATAGTATACTTTCATTTCTCCCCACCTAACCTTTGTGCTATTGTTGCCATATATTTAATTTTATGTATGTTATAAACCTGTACTATATTATTATTTTTGTTTAGAAATTCAATTAATTAGCTTTCAAAAAGTCTTAAATAATAAAAAGAAAATTTATATAATTAGCCACGAGTTAACCATTTTCAGCTTTCTTTATTACATTGTATAGACCTGTACTTCCATCTGTTATCATTTTTCCTCTATCTGAAGGACTTTCTTTAATAATTCTCTTAGTATGGATCTGCTGGCGATTCTTTCAGCTTTTATTTTAGAAGGATATTTTCACCAGAGATGAAATTCTTGGTTGACAGTATTTTTTAATACTTTAATGATGTTGCTCCATTGTCTCTTTGTTTACATTATTTCCAAAGAGAAATCTACTGTTGACCCGTCTTTGTTCCTCTGCACAGCAGTGTCCTTTTTCTCTTTTTCTGGCTACTTATAATATATTCTCTTCATCATTGCTTTTGAGCAATTTGTTTATGATGTGCCTTGGTGTAGTTTTTCATGTGTCTTGTGCTAAGAGTTCACTGAGCTTCTTGGATCCATAAGTTTTCCTAATGTTTGGATTTTTTTTTTGCCATTATTTATTAAATATATTTTCATCTCTCCCTCTCTCCTTTCCTTAGACAATTCTAATGACATGTATTTTAGACTCCTTGAAGTTGTTCCAGAGATCACTGCTACTTTTTTAAAAAAATGTTTTTTAATGTTTATTTGTTTTTGAGAGAGGCAGAGACAGAGTGCAAGTGGGGGAGGGGCAGAGAGAGAGAGGGAGAGAGAGAGAAAGAGAGAGAGACAGAATCTGAAACAGGCTCCAGGCTCTGGGCTGTCACCACAGAGCCCGATGCAGGGCTCCAACTCATGAACTGTGAGATCATGACCCGAAGGCAGATGCTTGACTGAGCCACCCAGGCACCCTGTTTTTTTTATATAAAAAATTTTTTTTGAATGTTTATTTTTGAGACAAAGAGAGAGAGAGTATGAGCAGGGGAGGGGCAGAGAGAGAGGGAGACACAGAATCTGAAGCAGGCTTCAGGCTCCGAGCTGTCAGCAGAGAGCTTGACCCAGGACTCAAACTCACGAACTGCAAAATCATGACCTGAACCAAAGTTGGACGCTTAACCGACTAAGCCACCCAGGTGCCCCTCTGTATTTTTTTTAATTACCATATTTCTTTCTGTTGTATTTTGTATAGTTCTATTGCTGTATCTTCAAGGTCCCTAATCTTTTTCTCATGTCTAACATGCCATTAAGCTCATATAGTGTATTTTTTCATCTCACACATTGCTGTTTACATGTCTACAAATGTGATTTGGATCTTTTTCTTTTCAAAATATATGTTCCTCCTACAACTCAACAACAAAGAACTAAATAACCCAATCAAAGAGTGTTCAAAGGATTTAAATGAACATTTCTCCAGAGATGATATACAAATAGCCAATAAGCATATGAAAAATGCCCACCACCATTAATCATTGTGAATCAAAACCACAATGAAATATCACCTCATACCCATTGGGATACATATTATAAAAATGCAACACTAGGAAATAAGTGTTGGTAAAGATCTGGAGAAACTGAAACACTTATGTGCTCTTGGTGGGAACGTAAAATGGTGCAACCACTAGGGAAAATAGTAAGAAAGTTCTTCAAAAATTTAAAAATAGATTTAGCATGTGATATAGCAATTGCACTTTTGGGTATATATCCAAAAGAATTGAGAGCAGGACCTCAAAGAGATGTTTGCACACCCATGTTCATGGCAGCACTATTCATAATAGCCAAGAGGTGGAAGAAACCCACGTGTCTATCAATGGATGAATGGATAAACAAAATGTAGTAAATACATAAGTGGAATATTATTCAACCTTAAAAAGGAAGGAAATTTTGACACATGCTACAACATGGATGAAACTTGTAGACCTTATGCTAAGTAAAATAAATCACAAAGAGACAAATACTATTTGGTTTCACTTATATGAGGTATCTTGAGTAGTCAGATTTAAAGAAACATAAAGTAGAATAGTGGTTGCCAGGAACAGGAGGGAGGGAGAAATGGGGAATTGTTGTTTAATCAGTATAGAGTTTTAGTTTTGCAAGATGAAAAAGTTCTGGATCTTGGTTCTAAAACAATGTGAATATATTTAACACTGCTGAACTGTACACTTAGAAATTGTTAACATAGTAAATTTTATGTTATGCATTTTTTACCACAATAAAAAATCCACAGCAAAACACAAAATAGATTATAAAGCAAAAAGATAATAAACAAGGAGTCTATTAACATAATGCCAAAATATTTTTGGAAAAAGTAAAATATTGTTCATCCCTGTAGTCTATTTTAAAAACATGTTCTGGGGCGCCTGGGTGGCTCAGTCAGTTAAGCATCTGACTTTGGCTCAGGTCATGATTTCACAGTTTGTGGGTTCGAGCTCCGTGTCAGGCTCTGTGCTGACAGCTGGGAGCCTGGAGCTTGCTTCGGATTGTGTGTTTCCCCTCTCTCTCTGCCCTTCCCCCACTCACGCTCTGTATCTGTCTCTCAAAAATAAATACACATCGAAAAAAATTAAAAACATGTTCTTTATAAGCATATAACTAAAAATAAAACAAATGATACTTGGTTTTTTTAATAAATATATCTTTCATGTCTTTATTTAATTTTTGAAACATGGGTAACACAGTTATAACTGTTTTAATATCCTTCTCTGCTAAATCTAACATCTATATCTGTTTTGTATCAGTTTTAATTGATTGTTTCATCTTCTCACCGTGGATTGTACTTTCCTGCTTTTTTTGCATGGCTAGTAATTTTTATTGGATTCTAGGCATTTGAATTTTATTTTGTTGAGTGATGAATATTTCTGTATTCCTATAAATATTCTGGATCTTTGTTCTAAGGTTTGGTTAAATCACTTGGAAATAGTTTGATCCTTTGGGTCTTGTTTTAAAGATTTGTTAATCAGGACTGGAGCAGTGTTCAGTCTAGGACTAATTAATCCTTACTACTGAGGCAATACCCTTCTAGATACTCTATGCCTACCCCCCAGCCACCCCTGCCCCCCAGCCATACATGAATCTTGAGGTTTTCAAGTCCATCTGGTGAGGACAGATCCTATTCCCACCCCTGTGTGAGTGCCAATCAGTTACCTGTAATCTTTTTGGATGGTTCTTTCTCTGGCCTCAGATATTTTCCTTACATGTATGTGCTGGTCAGTCCTCATCTGAATCCTCAAGTGGGAACCCTCTGCAAACCTCCAGTACTTTCTCTCTGTCTGCCATTCTCTCCTTTCTTATACTCTGCTAGCAGCCTTGATCTCCTCAGACTCTTAGCTTTGTAATCTCAAGTCACTGAGTTTGCCTGGCTCTGCCTGGGTCCCCCTCTTTGCACTGGGACCTGGAAACTCCCTTAAGGCAGTAAGCTGAGGCAACTGTGGTGCTTACTTCATTTGTTTCGCATCTTTCAGGGATCACTATCCTCTCATTTAATATATGGTGCCTTTCAAACTGCATTTCAGCTATTCTGTCAACTTTTTTGGTTGTTTCAGATGGGGGAAACCAGTCCTCTATCTTGGGACTTCCGGAATGGGATGTCTGTATTTAAGTTTCAAAGAAAGCTTTTATTCTGAAAGTTCTTTATATGTTTAAAATAATTAAAAAGAATTGATTTTTGTATTTCTCAACTAAAACTTTCGTTTTCTTCACCTGAAAACGATTCCTGACCAAGTGAATTGCCCTCCGCTCTCATAGCAATCCCATTGCTCACTCCAAGATGTTAGAATAGAGCTGCCTCTGAATATAAACCAAGCTGCACTAAATCACTGTGTGTGTACTTCACAATGACTGGCAAAACACAACTGTAGTTCTAGGTACAGCCACTTGAACTAGAGCAGCAGCATTAAATCTTTGCCTCACTCAAGTATGGCCATTCTGTGGTTTGCTTTACAGCTGACACGTCAAAGACATTATGAGGAAGAAGATGAAACTCAAAGGTAAGATTTATAAACATAGGCTCCCTGCTCTTAGATTAAGTGTCCCTTAAGACTTCAACCTAAAGTGGATCTCTGTAAGTCAAAGTCTTGATCATGCACATGCTGATGTCTTCTATTTGGATGCCAGTGGGAATTGCTAAGTAACTATGTAAATCTGACGATAGTGAAGCACAAACACTCATCTGACAGTGTTGAATGGGGGGAGGTGCAAAATGCAAAGTAGTAACAAATGAAAACGTCTATGCCTGTAGACATAGAGGAATGACAAGGACATTTCAGGCATGTACTGAAGTGTTAAAGTGTCAGTGCTCTATAGCAATGATGCAGACTGCAGGGATTCAGATCCTATCTGAGTCAATGATAGCTTTTTAAAGTGGGAAAAGTCACTTACCCATCCTGTCTCAGTTCCTACTGTACTATCTCATAGGGTTTTTGTAAGAATTAAATGAAATCATATGTGCAAAGCATTTACAATGGTGTGTGCATATAATAAGCTCAGTATAATGTTAGCTGTTGGTATCATCATCATTATTATTGTTCGTTTCAGAATGATGTATGCAAGAGCAGGAAGGAATGTAGACTATGGAGCATTGAGAGGGAAGGTCTCCTTGAGAAGGTAGAATCTGAGCTGGGCTTTGAAGCATGGAAAGAACTTAAAACAATGGGAATGGGCAGTGATTCTGGGTGCAGGAAACAGAATGAGCTAAAGTCCAAAGGAAAAAATGTTTGAGATATGAGGAAGTCAAGCTGGCATGTATGGTGTTGCTGGGCAGTTGAAGAGTGGTAAGCCTAGAAGGGAAAAAATTTACAAGGTTTGGCAACCGTTTAGATATGACAAGTGGGGAGGAAGGGGGTGTCATGTATAACCCAGGTACAAGCTGGACATCCACATGACCCAGTCTCAAAGCAACTATCATCTGAAAAAAGCCTAGCAAACAAAATTGTTTTAAAACTAACCAAGAATTTTGCTTGCCATTCTCCGAGAACATTAAAAAGCATACCATTCATAAGCTTTAAGAACAATTCTTAAACATCACTTTTGTCTTCTCAGTAATTCTTACATTTCATTAGCTCTGGAGTGTCTCATTCTCTTAACCCTTCACTTTCCATTTCTCCTGTCCTGAAACACTCAACAGTGTCAGCTCATGAGACTCTGTCTTCTATTCTCCTCGTCCTTTCCTTCTGTCTTGTCTCTGTTGATCCACTCTCCCAATTTTGAGTCATGAGGCCTAGGGGCCATCCTGAGAAAGGCAGAACTCTCCTTACAGGGAAGGCTTAGCAAAGCCATCAAAGACAATATTCTCTTCATGGGTAGATGGTAGAGAGGCAGGGCAGAGAAGTTATGTATTAACATTCTTGTGTCAATACATTTAAAAAATCATCACACAAAGAGAACACTAAAGTTTCCAGCCTTGGTGGTAGGACAGTGAAGGGCATATCATCACAGAAATGGGGAAGCCAAGGGATGAAATAGCACTGGGGCAACATTTTGAGTTTAGAACTGGGCACGTACTGGAGCTTCAACATCGCTCCAGGTGGAGATAGAAAAAGAAAGAAAAGAAAGATCACGGACTTAGATTTGGGCATCATCCCCCCAAATGTGATAGTTAAAGAAGTAAAAGTGAATGAGAAGGGATATATAGAGGAAATAAAGAGAAAGATGAGAACAAAAAACAGAACTTTAGGAAACACAGGTCAGTCAGGGTAGGAGTTGGCAAGAGGATTCAGAAAAGGAGAGAGAAACCCGGAGAAACCCTGGGCCTCACCCGGACCAATTCCATCAGACTCTCTGGAGGTGAGATTCGTGCACTAACATTGTCGGCAGCTTCCCAAACAGTTCCTGGGCAGCCAACATGGAAAACCATTGTTCTAGAGGCTTATGTGATGCTTGATGCATTTTAAGGTTGGGCAGGAAAGCAGTTATACAGGAATAAAATCCTGTTTTATTGGATTTAAAAACCAGAAACTCTAATATTCCCATTTTTCTGAGGAACCTGAGGCTAAAAGAGATTAATTTTGTGACCTTAAACAAGAAACTTAATTTCCAACCTCGTGCTTTCCTCTTATTGTCATAGACACAAACTCATCTCCCTCATGTTCTCTCCTGTCTCCTCGTCACTTTCAGCTCCAGTCCTCTACTGCCCCTGTCCTGAGACTTTCTGTCCCTTGTTCCACAACTGTGCATTCCTTAGGAAGGCTCTCAGTTCAGACTGAGAACACCTATAGTTCTGTCAGGTAAAAGACTCACCTGAGGTACCTTCTGCAGACCAGACCACGCAGGGCAGAGGAAAACCCTTTAAGGAGCTCTCTCATCGTTTTGTGAGCCTGGAGGGAAGATAAACCTCCAGAAGAAAATCTAAGTAGGGGACATGCTCTTTTCTGAGGTGCTGGAGGTGGAGCTGCCTGACTTCTAGTACAGCCCCCTCCTCAGAGCTCCCAGCAGCACCCTCTGTGCTGTTTATGAATTGGCGTCAAAGTCTGGGGCTGTGGTGGTGAGCCTGCCAGAGCTGATGAGGCCATAGCATTTGTGGGAATTCTGTGACTCCAGAAGGCAAAAGGTCAGTTTCTTTTCATTGACAGTGTTCTTGCCGCCCGAGGGTTTATCTCTGGGAATCTTGACTGGTTTCCAGGGTCAGGCTTCACCTCCTTTGTTATCTGGAAACACAGGAACAGCCTTTTTGTCGGGCTAGACTGGGTTACACATTGGACCCTGTTCCTCACGGCTCTGTAATCACGCCCTTCCCCCATGAGTAAAGTTCTACACTCTTCCAAAACAGCGGGAAGAGATTTTTAAAAAGACTCAAACCTGCTCATATTCCTCTCCTACACATATATTTGAGCTTGATTTATACTCCCCTCTCCTTTTCTCTCTGGGCGCTTCAGAAGTCCCCATGAATGTGATCCAACGTTGGAATGCACTCTGGAGTTTGAGGACACGCCTGAGATACCCTGCAAACACTTGTCTTTCACCCATCCTCATACACAGAAAGGATGTGCACATATAACCCCTGAACTCACACATGACTCCACCAGTCCACAGCCACACTAAAAGTGGGCTTGAGTTACACATGTGCTTTCTTACACCTCAGCTCACACACTCCCACCTGGGGGCTTATGTACACAAGGCCTGTTCATTCCCAGTAGAGCCAACATCTGTGTTCACAGCCACATCAAAAACACATCTTTGGGTTTCTAGGAAACAAATGGCAATAGAGAAGGGAAACAGGGCATCTGAAAGAATGGCTCTGCTCCTTCCTCTTCTGTCCTAAAGCAAAGCAACCAGGATCTTTTGGGCTAATTTGGTGTGCTGGGCTGCAGTGTAGACTCTTACAATAGCTCTGATCTGACTCCAAGACTAAAAGCAGCAGTCTCCTTCCCTGCCATGTCTGCTGGGTGCCTCCAGCTGTCCTGGGCGATTCTCCCTAAACACAAACTATTAGCATTTCCTGTTAAAACATTTCTAATAAATAAATGAATACATCATCTTCCCAACCCGAAGCAGGTCTGAAAGCTACTAGGAGCTCCTCCGAGCTAAGAACGGACATGGACCACCCAGCACCAGCCCACTGGCTTAGGGCCAATGCTGCTTTTGTTTGAATTCCTGTATGAGTAACTGCTCAAGCTGACGCCAGCCAAACTCAGTGAAATATTATTTTTAATATTAAATAAATAGATGGTGGGATGTGTTGATCTTTTTTTTTTTCCCTGTAAGTTGCAGCATCACACAACATAGAAACCGGCTCTTGTATCCAGATTTCCTCAGAGAGCAGAAAGAAGGTTGACATTGTCTTTGACCTTCTTCATGGAGCCTTTCCCCCCACCCCAGGAGACAGAAAAGACCCAGTTGGTGTTGACAGGACCCTATTTGGAGTCAGCTGGGACTTTAAATTATAGCAAAGCTTGCATAGGATCACCAACTATTTTTGTTCATTTTTCTCACTTACTGTTTCCTTCCAATAAACAGAAAGCACATGTTCTTTATATAAAAATCAGAAGGCACAGATCAATAAGAAGCTGCTGAAATCCCACTATCCACGAAGAGATAATTACTGCTAAATTTTGGTGAATACTCTTACATTTTTATATGTATATATCCCACTCATGAATGTTGATTTCACAAAAAATGGGCTCACATTATGTGTGTGTGTGTGTGTGTGTGTGTGTGTGTGTGTGTGTGTGTGTGTAATTTTTACACACAATAAATTTGGGGCTTCTATTTCATAGTCCCCTAAAACTCTACTTGTAAGGACTGTACAACGCCCCACCGTTTGCATATGCCACAGGATGCTCAACCAGACTCCCGCTGTTGTATATTAAGCTTGTTTCCAAGTTTTTGCAATACAAACAAACTCCAGTAAACAAATCCTTGCCTAAATCTTTGCTTACATCCTTAATTATTTTCTTAGGATAAAGTCCTCAAAGTAGCATTTTGAGACTTTGGGTACATACTGTCAAATTTCCCCTCTGGAATGATTATACCAACTTACAGTGCCACTAGCAGGAACTCCAAACCTTCCCCTGCTTGTTGCCATGCTGCATATTCTTCTTCTTTTTTTTAAATGTTTATTTATTTTTGAGAGAGGGAGAGAGAGAGACAGAGTGCGAGCAGGGGAGAGGCAGAAAGAAAGGGAGACACAGAATCCAAAGCAGGTTCCATGCTCTGAGCTGTCAGCACAGAGCCCAACCTGGGGCTTGAGCTCACAAACCAAGAGATCATGACCTGAGCTGAAGTCAGATGCTTAACCGACTGGGCCACCAAGGTACCCCTGCATATTATTCTTTAAAAACAATCTTTGACAATTTGTTAGGCAAAGAAACCAAAATACAAAAACTGATCAACCTTAAATATTTAACATGAGAGGTGAACGGTATGGAACTTTTTAAGTCTAGGAGGTGAGTCCTGGTGGGTGGCTGCAATGTTGGGCAGTGAAGGGGACAGACAGAAAAGGACTGGCTGTGATGGCCTTGAGGAAGGCTTAGACAGGTGAGAAGACTCTTTA